ATATGGGAAGAAAGAAAGCGATAGAAAGCATTTTGAATCGAAAAGGGAAGTTTAAGAAATAACAAGGGCAACGGAGTAGTCGTAGCAAGACCAGCTTTTCTTCGAAGTACTGAAAACAGGGGCTTGACAATTGATTGAATAGTACTTTCAGAGAAAAGGGTAGTTTGAAGACGGAATTCCAATCGCGGAAGAAGGACAGCATTATAGAGATACGCCACATGCTGAGCTAATAATTTCTTTGGTCCAGGAGAGCTGCCATATCTTTAACCATGGAACGCGCTTGTTTGAGAACAAAATCAGAAGAGGCAGATAAAGAAAACCAAACGCCTAAAAAGCGAAATGAAGTATTAAGAGATAAAGAAGAAAGGGAAAGAGAAATATCGGAAACTAAAGAAGAAGGTAAAAATTCAAAAATAATCTTTGAAGAAGGCGAAGAAGATGAAAGAAGAACATATTTTGCTGAATTAGCTTGAACATTATTTAAAGTATAAAATTCAGCAGTAATAGAAAGACGGTCTTCTATGCCAGATTTTGAAGAAGCAAGAAGTGTAGAATCATCCATAAACGTTAAATGTGAAATTGGTAAAGAATGTTGTTCAAATTCAAGTGGAGAATAATTTAAAAGAGCTGAAGATTTTAAAATAAAAGGATCTCGTGCTTCTTGATTCAAAACAGTGAGTAAGGGATCCAAATAAATAACCCAAAGGAGAGGGGAAATGATTTCTCCTTGATCGATACCAACACGTACTCTATAAGCAGCTGTATCACCATGACAAGTAATTATCTTATTATTTCATCGTGTAAAAAGATTTAAAATAAATCGCACTAAAAGTGCAGGGATATGTAACCTATCTAAAGCTAATTTAAGCATATTTAAATCCATAGAATCAAAAGCTTTAGAGATATCTTGAGAAACGATCCATAGTTCCTGATCATCAGTAGAGTCATGTTTATGTTGATGGATAATCGCATCAAGCATTTTGATAGGGACATCAGTAGAACCACCGGGTAAGCCAGCAAAGTTACCACCTTGAAAAACTTTATTATCAGCAAGAATGTTGGAGAGACGATTCGTGACGACCTTAACTACACATTTTCGAACAGTTTCCAGAAGAGTAATAGGTCGAGTGTTCTTAAGTTGAGCATCAAAATCGTGAGGTTTAGGAATAGGATAAACCACAGCTTCACGCCAGTCAGCAGGAATATCACCGCGGGAAAGGCAGGTATTGGCCAGTAAAAGAGAGAAATCCAAGGCTTCACCGGACAGATGTTTAATCATCTCATAAGAAATTTTTGAAGGGCCGGAAGCTTTGTTGTTTGGCATGGAGGAAATCACAGCAGACCATTCTTGCAGGGAAATAGGCGCCAAAACAGGATCATATAATGAAGCAGACACATTTGTAAGAGGAGTGTAAGCTTGTTGCCATCGGGCGGGAAATGAAGTGATGGAAGAATAGCGGACCAACGGAGGAGAGACAATTGATTGAAAATGAGAAATAGCAGCTTGTTTAATGTCCGAAGGATCCGTTAATAAAGTAGGAGTTGAGTCCAGTACGACCAGGACACGATCAAGAACAATCGAGCGTTTTTCTACTGATAGGGCAGAATCTATAAAGGTGCCAAGCGAGTTCGAAAAGTGTTCGTCACGTAGTGCAGTATAATATTCCACTGAGTCCGTAAGGTGTTGGGCGAATTTAGTAGATAAAAAGGCAGAAACTAAATTCTTCTGTGATCGTAAAAACGATTTAAATACAGATACAGGGG